CATGCTGGAATAAACCTTCACTGGAATTTATCATACAAAAGGCATTCTGACTCTCTTCACTGAGCTAGCTGTGGTGAGTGGACCTGACTTCTTTGTCTGAATGCCTACCCAAGTGGCTTTTCCACAGGAGATGCTTATTGGGAAACAGGTAGCAGCACCCACCATCTAAACCCCCACGATTCTGACTCTCTTCACTGAGCTAGCTGTGGTGAGTGGACCTGACTTCATCTGAATGCCTACCCAAGTGTCTTTTCCACAGGAGATGCTTATTGGGAAATAGGTAGCAGCACCCACCATCTAAACCCCCACGCTGCTACAATCAACTACTGCATATCCCTCCCCCAAGGCAGGATCAGCAGTGTCCATGTCCTTTACAAATGCCTACAGCTTCTCCAATTACTCCTTATTACTCTCTGAAGGAAAGGATTTCTTCCTGTCTTACGGGATTTTTTCAGAATTATTTTGGGTTTTTTCTTTTTAATGTGGTGATGTCTTATTGTATTATATTTGGCTCCTGATCTACACTAATCCTTCAGTTCTTGTACTAAGAATTCTCCTTTCCTAGCTATTCTGCATTCAGCATTGTCAATAATTACTATATAGATTCAATACATTGTTCTTGGTTTTTGTTCTTGGTTTTTTTCACAGTTCAGCAAACCACCTTTGAATTTTAGGCTTCTTTCTCAAGGTATCCACAAACCTTCCCAGACTTTATCAGTAACTTTTATGTGTGCACTGCTGAGTAATTAAACAGAAGGTGATCCAAGAGGGACTCTGCTGAAGTCCACTTTACACCTTTTTCTTATTTTAGAATGGATCGCCTAGGACAGCTCAGGAACAGCTACTATTCAAACAATTTTACACAAATCCACAGACAGAACTTCTATCAAAAACAGATTTTTCTAGCATTTTTATAATAGTCCTGTCAAACCATGCTAAAATGCTTATGTGTCAAAATCTAACAGTACAGCTTCTTCTACAGCCACATGGACAGAAAATACCCTGTTGTAGAAGAAAACTAAATTAGGCAGACACGACTTGTTTTTAACCAACACCTACTCACCTCCTCACTACATGCTGGAAGTTTACAAACAGGTTTTTGTGGTTCCTGAGTTTGTGACATGGAAGTCACCTTCTTCAAATTGCAGTCTTTCTCAGCTTGCACTGTGTTTAACTGACAGTCTGGAGCATAGCAATACAAGACATTGCCAGCCAAACTCTCGGGGGAGTTTCTGCCTTATAAGTTTGGAGCAAAATGTTGATCTCTGTGTGTTAGACAAGAAAATAATTCCTCTATCTCTGGAACAGAAGCATGTGAAATTCCTTCCATGTGTAAGGAGCTCCAGGTGCTGTAGCTGGTGCAAACCACAGGAAATCCGAAAAACTGAGCACTGCTTTGATTTCCTTCCTGTGTAAGTTCTTTATTATTTTAACAACAGCTTGTCTCAGAGGCCTGGCTTTTTTAACTGACCACCTTTTGTACAGTTTGTAGAAAATTAGCTCCAAGGCTCTTGCCTTTGTCAGACTTGGACAAAACAAGCATGGAGCTCTGAAGCTATCAGGGAAGTGCAGTGGTATGATGATGCTCCTCTTGTCTCCATGGGAAACCACGTCCATAAATTCCATAGAAGAGCAGACTGAGTGACACAACAATGCATGAACCAACCCACCAGCTGTTTTAGAATTTTTAGCAGCTACAGACATTAATTCTGAGTGAGTAACATTCTTGAATTACAGCTATGCTTTCACACAACAGTTATTTCTAGCTTGATTATAATTGCTTATGAGGATTCATGAATGTCTCAAAAATGGTCTTTCACATGAAGTGAGAGGAACCATGGTAAAAGGGAAGCAGGAGGGGAAGGGCAGGTGCAAGGCTACTACATAGCCACAATCTCACTCCCTTAAGTTTGAAGGGCAATCTTAGGTGACATACACTGAAGATCCCCACTTTGTTCTCCCAGATATACACAATCTGACCCAGTTTCGTCTATTTGTGGAAATACAGGCCACTCATTTTTAACCACTTCTTGCTACTTGTCTTTGTTGATTCACAGGATTGCAATTTTCAAGTATTTAAAAAAACAGTCTGATACGCAAAGTAATCACTATCTCACTAATTAATGATCTTCTATCTAATGCAGTCTCCCTCTTCCTCTGAGTCAGAATTGCTGATAATTGTGTAAGGAAACAATTATCCTTATAGTTCAATGCATTATACTGGCAGCTGTATTATTCTCCGCAAACATGATGCATGAAAAAGCAAACAATATTTGCTTCAAATACAGTTTAATGCTGCAAAGTACTACATGTTTTCCACAAACATTTAGTATACAGACTTAAACAGAGACGGAAGAAACCCCCAAACCTACACCACTCCTTACATAGTACTTCTTGAGTTGTTACTGATTGAGAATCGGGTGTTTGCTACCACTGAAAAATAACCATCCTTTCATAAAAAAACTTAAGTTTAAGTGGATATCACATGTCAATACTACAAGTACACTCAACACAGTATTGCATCCCACTAAACAGACTAAAATACTAACTGAAGCTAAACACCAGGAATTAACTTACTTCCTGCTGGCAGGGAAAGAAAACATTCTGGGGCTTTAAAACCTGCAGGTGCATATAAATCACTCTGTACTGCAAAGTAGTACAGCTCCTTGTGCATACTCTATCAATCTGCATGATCCTTGTGCATACTCTATCCTTCTGTATGTCAATCACATACTTCTTTGAGTACTGATATTATTGTGTAGGTGCAAGCTGTAAAACTGAATCTTGTAAAAATTGCATGGCTTCATTTTTTTTAATAGTGTAGTTATATAGTTACAGTTATATATGCTAATACAAATTTAATGTAAAGTGCAATAGCTAAATCTAAAAGTGGTGAGCTGCTGCTACAGAGAAATACTCCAATCAGTTCTACAGTGAAGCTTTGAGCAACACATAATGACCTTTGTTCACAAAATCTCCCATAAAGGGTAAAAAGACTAGATAATAAAAATACAGGAAAGGATTCTCGGCCTGTTATCTGCATTTATTTACTTTTTCAATAGCTGAATGCCCTACTGAGATTTTTTTAAATTACAAAATTACTTCTTTGTGAGCAGACTCTGCAGAGTAGAAGATAGCCTGACAGCAGTTTAACTACAGCCCTTTCAGTCAGAGGTTGCTTTCTAGCAAAATATTAAGTAGAAAGGCTCCAATCTTTTTGAATAGTACACTATGTCTGCAGTTATTAGGTTCCCAAGCAATACTGAAAATAACTTACTTACCATAACATAATAATTTAGCAAACATTATCAAAAAGTCTTACTCAAAGTAGGGCCATGTTAGGCATCAGAAAACTTAGCTGGGTTCCAGCCAGCATCCTATCTATATAAGGATCTAGTAATAGAACTTTTAATACCTGAGAAGTGTTTGAAGCTGAGCATTTCATAATAGGGGAGAAGAAGGAAAAGGAAAAAATAGCTGTGTTTCAAAGAGTAACAAACATCACTACATACATTTTTATAAACAGGATTCATACAAAAATTGTATCACTGTGTGTCAAAAAAAGAGACATTTTAAATGTACTAGAAAGTGGTATAAATATGTACTGTTCCATTGGAAAGGTTTTATGCTGCTTTAATGATTTGGCAGTCATCTGACAATAGTCTACTCACCTATTTTGAAGGTCTCATGAAAAAGTCATATCTCCCACTAACAATTTGCTTCAAGAGTATCAGCATACACCTTACTTCTTGCTTTCTAACCATAAATTTTAATACAAAAGTTTTAAAGGTTTCAAAATGCTTGAAAATTAATTCAACCCAAAGTTCTTGCTAAAAGCAACTTCCATAAAGATGATACAGTATAGAGTACATTTCTGCATTGATAAAAAACAAGTACAACATAAGACATGTAAACAAAAGAGAAAATCATATTTCATGGTGTAATACTAAAAAAGGAAATAACACTTATTAATAGAAGTGTACATTCAAAGCATTGACCCGCTTAGAGTTCTGATATTAGAGTTCTGAGGAATGTGAGCAGACTTTTTTCTCCAGAACTGCATCTCTCAGCAGCTACAATTGCTCATACTTGAAAAACTTCCTAACATTTTTTTAACAGGCCTTATATTAATTACTTGCAAGAACTATAGCCATTCCTGAACCTCAACACTAATAATCTTAAAACTAAATGGACTAACCATCCCTTATCTTCACAAAATGGACTGAAAAAACAAGGAAAATCAGAATCTTTTGCAAGAATCCAAGATTCAATATTACATCTCACTGCTCACTGAAATCTAGGTCTTCAGCTTGGTTTTTAAGCAGTTATCAACTTTTTTCCTAAGTATACCAGCAGAGCTGTGGACTATTTTTGATATCACTTGCAATGCACTGGTGAGAAGTCAGCTCTCAAATTAGATGTGCAGCTAGGCATCTCTGAGTTTTTATAGTTTAATCACACTGTCAATCAATGCTGACCTGAGATCGTACTGAAGGTAATGTTCACACTTCTGTGAGCACTTCAATGCCAAATTCAAGACCAAACATGTCTCAAGAGGTAGAGATGGATTCTGTGGCATTTCTGCAAGAAAGAAATATGCAGCATACAAGTATTCACAGGACAGTGGAAACACAACAAAATCCTCAAACTACTACATAGCTTTAGGGACTTCTCTCAGTTCCTTCTGCATTTACACTGCCTAATTCCACTTACAGAGTAATCCAGCTGCAAACACTCATCTCCTGTTGTACTTGGGGAAGCAACCATGTATTCTGTGATCCAAAATGATGCACAGCCTGGGTGCCACACCAGGCTGGGAATAGCATGGGCTTCGAGCACTCTCTTGTGGCCATGCGTAAGTGCAGCAAAATCAGAGCTAAGAAGGACACAGGGTGGCATGTAGGCATCTTGGACTGCCTTCTTTTGCAAACAAAGTTACAAAAGAAGTGGATCAAGCACCAAAGGTGATCTACTACAAAAAGATCATTCCTTGACCCTTGTATTTGAAAAGAGCTTTTATCCAGAGAAATGCTACATCAAAAACACAGTGCAAAAAACAAAGAAGCCACTTTGTTACTTTAGTGTTCAAGCGCCCCCATGTTCCTGCTTCCTCTCACTTCTTCAGAGAGGAATGAACACACTTCCCTCCTCTTCCTATGACACTTGCAGTGCTGCCTATCTTAGGAAGAAAAGAAAATACAATACTAGTCATACACTAGTCATTTATCATTATATAAATATTGTCTGTGCTGGAACGTAAGTTGAAAATCCATCCCCATTCCACGGCTTCCAAGTTCATGTAATCTTCACAGATGTTTTTTTGTGTGCGCAGAGGAGGGTGACGTAGGGAACTCCAATGAATGCCCACCTTTCACTGGGCCAGAACTTTATGACAGGGCCCTGTTCAGGGATCTCAGAGGCAGCATCAAAGTAAGCAAAGCAGACACATCCTAGATATGCTGCTAGACAAATCAAAATGTGCCTGAGAATAGCCACCCACACACCAAGATAACAAAAAAAAAAAAAGGAAAGAAAAAATAATCAGTAACATAAATTCAGTAAAGCAGTCAATTGTATCACCATACTTTAAAATCAGTTTGTCCTTCAGCATCTTCTCACAAGCCCCCCATAGGATTGCTCCCTGTCCTTTGCATGGAGACAAAGACTATTTGGAAAGGAAAACCACAAAAGTGTAGTTTACTCCTGGTCTAAACAGGCTCCAGTTTTTTGACTTCTCTGCACCTCTAACATTTGTACAGAAATGCTGACATATGGCACCTCAAGTAAGTAACCATGATTTGCTGGCTGGTAAAACAGAAAAGGCATCAAAGCCCTTTACTGCTTCTGCACTTCACCACCATTAATTAATCACTAATTCATCATGAGGATTACCATCATTATCAGTGGCAGTTTAAGTTTTCATAGTCACAGCTATGGTTTTTAGTAACCAGTATGGCAAGGAATTCAGTTGCAGTTAATGAAAGCAGTGGCTTAAGAATACAATCAGGCCTAAATCTGCCACCCTGAATAGTACAAGACTTCTTCTGGGCTTATAAAATCTTACTATACATTCTGTCTAGAACTAACCAGAAAGAGCCACCAAGCAGCACAGAAGGGTAATGTGGTGAGAATGGATCACATTTGAATTGAACTCTGGACTTTATACACAACACTTACCATACACAGTGCAAATAGGGAAAGTTAAATGAGGACCAGATCTCACAAAACGCTTTGTCACTGATCCAGCAGAAAAGAGCTAGCATCCACCAAAGACCTGAAAAGAGACCCAGTTTGTACACACGAAGGTTTTCACACCTAAGGAGAAAAACATAAATAAATATTTATAAAACAATGCCACACATGCACTATTAAAATGACTCCACCATAAATGTACTTAACAGATTATCTTCACTTACAGTCTGGCTCTGATGCAAGGCCTCTGATGGAGGTAACAAAACAAACCTTTTTATCAGTAGCTGTGTTTTAGGTATTGTCTTAAATACCAGTGTATCAGTGGTAGGCAAACATCAAACTATTCCTATACCTAGGAAGGAGTGTAACTAGTGATTAGTTACATATGCTGTTCATTAACAACCAGCCATGCAGCAAATGCTCAGATTTGCTCCTATTTGTTACTGTATAAAGAATTCTGTTAATGCTAAAGCATTTCTATTCCTCAGTGAGAGATACTACTGTTCCTAACAGCACTAAACCATGTACCTAAGCAGACAGGCACATTAATCAATTTTGTTTATCTGACAGATAAAAGTAGACTACTGAGATGGAGTACTTGTGTGTTCTGACAAAGGAAAGGGTGTGTGTATTGAGAATACGAGGGTTTCCTGGACATATCTGAAGGAGATAAACACATGCAACTGCATCCCATTTAAGATAAGAGGTTTGGCCTCAAACTTAAGGTCTTCTGACTACCTGAATTCCAAGAGGAAAAGGCAATTAACCTGCATGGTTCAAAGAATTCATGGTTGCAAAGGAAAACTGGAGGCTTACATACCCAGTACAAGATCAGCCATAGCAAAGGTACAGACTGTAAAGTTTGCTCAGTACCACCATCACATACTGCAGATTACTTTTATGAACTTAAAACAATATTGTAGTGTTCTGCAAAGGACTACTTTAAGGCGGAAAGACAAAGACCACAACAAGAGCACAGCTCGCTGATCTCTGTAATACTCCTGGGTTTTCTGAGATTACCCATCATGGAGTCTTCAGTTTCTGCAGTAACTGTGCTTCAGATGGGGTGAGGACATGCTTGCTGAGGAAGCAGGAGGCTGGAAAGCTACTGCTTTTACTACAATGAAAAGATGTAATGCAAATACCACTTGGACACGTAGCCTTTCTTTTATTTCTCAACAGACATGGACAATGATAAGAACTAAAATAGGACTTGTTAGCTGAGGGTCTAAAAGACACATTCATGCTGCCCTGATCCTATCCTATGCTATTCTGAAATATAATGAATCCCACTAATCTTGCACTTCCATTTTCCCTTTCATCTACAGAATGCAAAATGTTCTCTGTTTAACAAAACACAGTTATTCAAATGTCAGCATTTCTGCAAACACTTGTGAGCTCCAATCATTTGCTATTTAAGGGACACTTAAATACACAGTTCCAGCAACACTGTCTTCTGATGTCTTGAAACCACCAAAAAAGCATTGCAGCTTTTCTTCAAACCAGTGCAATGTTGATTGATTGAATTTTACACAGATATCTCCCTTTCTATCCTAAGGAATATTTTAAACTTTTAACTAGCTTAACCTTTTAGTCATGGGAATAAAAGAACCTGCAATATTGAAGCAAGGCTCCCCCAGAGTCAGATTTCTAGTAGAGCAACCGAATAATAATGGTCAGACCAGAAACTATGGTAAACCTTCACTACTCAAGGCTCAGAAGTCAACTAAGCAACAATATTCTAGCATCTATCTGCACATGGAGGACATTATCTCCCTAAAGAGCTACTAATTTGATGACATTATAATCTCAATGGCTCGGACTAGGCAAATCAAAGGATACACATCCACCTTTCCACTGATACCACCTTCTAGTACAGTTTTAAGAAACACAGGAAGGAATTTCTTGTGACAGAAATGAGAATAAATTTTAACAATTTCTTTGTCTTTCAAGGACACTTGACTACCTTTTGCTCTTTTCATCACCTCCTACCCACAATACTCCCCAGCCATACACTCTGCCTTACCAGGTCCGCATCTAAGAACTTAATGCTCTTTTGTGACAATATTATCTCCTCATCAAAGACAAATATAAAGCAAAAAATTTTCATTTTGAAAACACAGTGGTTTTGATTCCCCAGAATTCTGTACAAAATTGACACAGCCTAGAATAGGAATAACAACAAGGAGTTTTGGTCTAAAATATGAAAAACTTCAACATGGAACAGAAGCAACTTTTCTTCCCCAAATATCTATTTCACAGAAATATTTCCACTGCAGCCTGCCAGACTTGGATGTGAAGTCCCCTCCTGGCTATGGCAGCACAGAAAAGAAAAATAGCAAACCTTTTAAATAATAGTTAGATTAATCTTCCTCCTGCAAAGCGGGATGAGATGACTCCTTACCTCTCAGTTTACAAGAATGTTACGCTTTAAATTTCAAAAGGATCAGCATAGCTTAAAATAAAAGCTTTTTATTTGCCTTTTGCACTTACAAATTAATCTACAAATATCAGTGGTATTAAACCATCCCTATCCCTAGCCAGAGAGGGCCCTATGTCACTTCTGGTCCCTTTTTATTTATCAATTGGAAAAGAAGGCCCTTAACTTTCTCCCTAAAAAAACACAGCCGGGAAACTCCAGACATTTTAGTAATATATGACTGTCCTGGGGTGACTTTGTGATGCTAGATTTCTTCCCAAATCTGCCCCAAACCAGGACAATGACCCTGCAGAAAGAGTTGAAAAAACCAAATACCTATAGGCATACCAATTCCTAGATGTGCAACAACAGTACTCAAACTTAGTAGACACTAACTTGTCCTTTCAAGTTTCTCAGGAGCTCATGCCTGGAAAACTGATACAGAACTGACAGAGAATTCACAGATTATCCCATGCCACAACCAGATGTCCCTTTGCCCTGTCAGTAGTTCCTTCATGCCATCACCAAAATGAGACACCACCAATATTGTTCAACTACTGACCTTGTCCGCAACTAACTTTTGTGCTGTTTCCAAGTGTCTTTGACCACTGAAATACACAGAAGGATGCCTAACGAGAAAAGACTCATGAACACCTTTACAAAACATTGTTTGGAGAGGCTTCCATTGTACAGAAGTCGAAGATCAGGGTAAGATAGCAAACAGAAAAGTCTCTATTCTAACAGATGCAATTAGAATGAAGAAATTTTGTTCTAACTCATTTTGATGGACATATGCAACATATAAAAGCAAGTGTACATTGTAAAATCTTTCTCAGACACTGGAGAATAGGTGAAAAAAGACAAGTTCAAATGCTAGTACTCCTCTGGTTCTTTTCGCAGTGAGGGAAGAGATGGGAAAAAAAGACTCCGGACAGCTGCTGGTATGACTGTAACAGCACAACTCTCTAAAATGTGGAAATCAGTCTCAGGTTCTTTCTCTATTTACATTCTGGTTTTATGACTTCTATGGCCTTGACTGACACCTATCCTTCAAAATGTAGTGATTAACCTTCTCTTTGTCACTCTGACTCCATCACATTATTCATATCAGATGACAAAGTCATGCAAGACTCACAGTTCAACTTTGGGAGTTGGAACATCTTCAACATGTGCCTAGGCCTTGCTCCTACTAGCATCCAGACTACAACCATGCCATCACCTCACTCTAAATGCACATTATACAGTAAAAATGCTGTCCATAAAGTGAAACCCAGGCTCTAATTTCACAATCAACAAATATGAGTTAAATCAGGTTGCAGCAAGAGGTATGTTGCAAAAACACAGAACATATGACCTACTATAAAGTCCTAGGGAAAAGAAATCCTTGTCAAAAGATGTCTGAACTGCAGAGAAAATTTATACTAGATTTGCTCTTGCTTGTGGTAAAAGCATTTCTGATCTGCTGTCACATGCACTGAAGCCATATATAGTGTATCATCTCTCAGTGTCCTAAAGATCTGGGAAGGCAATGCTGCCTGCATTCTGGAGAATTATACTTACCTCTTCAACTCAGCAACGAGCAAAGCCGTGCAGGGAACTCCCAGCGTCATTAGTGAGATGTTGTTAATGGCAGGCTTAACGAAGGCCAGGCAGGTGGTAACTCCAGACAGGACACCCACAGCAGCTTTAAATCGGCTCCTGAGTAGAGTTTATATGGGCAGAAAAACTTTTAATTAAAAACTTTTAATTTTAGTAAACCCAGAAATTTCAACATTATTTTAATAATGTAACAAAATTGAGGTCTACCTTCGCACACAGCACTGTACTTAATCAAAAATGTTCTGTCTCATCATTCTTCAAGCTCTTAACATGGATTTTTAGGATATTTTCTTATTGTTAATGCCGACTTCTACAGCTATGTTACAGTACGCTTAACTTTCCTTTATCTCTTTAGAGCCTTAAAGATACTGAAACTTACAAGCGAAATTGGAACATTTCCTTAATCAAATTCAACAGTAGGTGAGAAATTCCCAGACTTTTTTATAAGACCAAAATTTGGTATATCCTTAACAAATATGAAATCACTATTGCGCCCTATGTAGATAGCCTGACAACTTTTAAATTAAATATATGTTAACTGTGTTTAAATTCCAGTCTGCACTTCAAACAACCCACATCCAGTCTATGGCTGAGGAAGGAGATCACCACACTGCCTTCCAACTACTGGCCCATAGTTTTTAAAAATTGTTGTTCAAGGATGGTCTTCTATGTTTGAAGTAGGGTCTCAATATATTTGTATGGTACCATTCCATGGCCACAAGCATTAGGCTCATTTCATTTACCTTTTGCTTTAAAGTTTTTCATTCTGCTGGAAAAGCAACAAGTTACTTAAGTAGGAAGTTCTGATCTGACATGAATATCTTAATGAATAAATACATCGCAAGTTGGTCATGATAGATAATAACATTTTCAGCATTGAAAATTCAAAGTGTGATAAGGATGATGAAAGTGAACAGTACAGCTGTGAGCACACAATAGACATAATACTAGAAGATTACTCAGGCAAAGGAAAAAACTTGATAGTATTGACCAAATCTGTTCTACGTTAAGACTTTGTCTTGGGTTACAATGCAAGGTATGCATTCTGTCACCACCTACAGCACCTTCTGATGAGCTGGTAATGGTCAGTTGTTTCCAATAGCTGTCCAATGCACTCAGCCTAAAGCAGAGCCATCTCGGCTCATGGGCCATCAAGGACTCCCCAGAATGAGTCATGGAATTACATCATCCTATTGTGAGATGTCCACTCCGGTGGGGAGGTACCTAACATTCCTACCGGTATATAACTGGGACCTGGGACACCACAATACCACCACTGGATTCCCAGAGGACAAGAGCTCTCAATAATCACTACGGGACCACCAAAGAAGAACCACATCTTTCTACAGGATCACCACTTTGACAAGATCACATCCCTCACTCCAATGGAACGGCTGCCACCACCCTGACCAACAGGGTTGTATTTGTGTTTCTGTACTACTGCCTTTATTGCAATTTTTTTCTATTAAATTGTAATGCTTACTTGGAATCCCTTGCAACGTGTTTGTGTGGATTTATTTCCTTCAGCTGATTTGCTTTCAAACTAGCACCATTTTTTTGCCCAAAGTGTCTGCATACTTCAGAAAGGAATCAAGACCTTCCCTAAAAAGTAACTGTTTTGTCACATTCTCTGAGAATTGGAAGGATACAATAGGATCTTTCATCTCAGTATTTACAGTTTTAAAACAAAGTTAAACAAAAACAGTATTGCACCCCAAAAGTGTTGTTATTCCTTACAAACCAATAGTTTAGCATCCTGGTCCATACTATGAACCTACCCTGCAACATTAGAAGACACTAATTGACAAAATGTAACCTCTAGGCATCTGGGAGCTCATCTACAGAGTTTACATAAATTACACATAAATTTAGGACTCTGAATTCTTCACTTCAACTGAACATCTAAGAGTCACACCATAAACTAAGACACCAGTAAAGCTTCTTAAGTTGATGATGTTCTTTAATAACACTATACTGTAATATGCAGAAGTACTAAATTTACACCAATTCAACAAAGCCATTAAACCACACAGAATCATAGAACATGCTGCGTTGGAAGGCATCCGGCAGGATAACACCTCCAGTTCCTAGCCCTGCACAAGACCATCCCTAAGAGTCACACCATGGGCCTGAGAGCACTGTCCAAACACTTCCTGAACTGTCAGGTGGGTGCTGTGACCACTTCCCTGGGGAGCTGTTCCAGTGCCCAACCACCTTCAGGGGTGAAAAACCTTTTTGTGATATCCTACCTAAACCTCCCCGGACTCAGCTTCAGGCCATTCCCTCAGGTCCTGTCACTGGTCTCTACAGAGAAGAGACTAGCTCCTGCCCCTTCTCTTCATTAGGGTGTCAAAGACTACAATGAGGTCTCCCCTCAATCCTGTCTTCACCAAACTGAATGAATCAAGTGACCTCAGCCACTTCTCAACCTGGCTTCCTCTCAAGGTCCTTCACCACCCTCGTTACCCTCCTTTGGATGCTCTCTAATAGTTTAAAGTCTCTTATATTGCAGTGCCCAAACCAGCCCCCAGCACTCGAGGTGAGGCTGCCCCAGCTCAGAGCAGAGCAGGATAATCCCCTCCCTTGCCTGGCTGGCAATGCTGGGCCCGGTGCCACCCAGGACAGGGTTGTACCTCCTGGTGGCCAGGGCACTGCTGACCCATGTTCAACTTGCCATCAACCAGGTCCCTTTCCATGGCCCTGCTTTCCAGCATCTCATTCCCCATCTGTCCATACATCCATGGTTACCTCATCTCAGAATCCAGCACTCTCCCTTGCTGAACTTCACCTGGTTGGTGATTGCTCTCATTTGTGGAGGGCTCTCTGCCCTCAATGGATTCAACAGCTCCTCCCAGTTTAGTGTGGTCATAAAACTTAGTACTCCTTCCAGTCTTCTGTCAAAGTCCAAGTCACTTATGATGACATTAAAGAGCAGTGGGCCATGCACAGAGGCTGTATAAAGTTATTACAGGTACTCTCTACCAAGTGCAAGCTATTTTGAGGTATGGTCAGTCTAGTCAGACTTCTCTCCATGCATTAGCAACTTCTAATCTGGCATATTGTCAAGAATAAACCAAGCAACCAAACAAAACCCCCAACAATCAAACAAACAAACTCAAAAACTCCTGTAGAGAGTAAGTGTAAGAGGGCAAAAGGCAAAAGTCTTAGCAATCTTCAGAGAGAACAACATTGATGCTGAAATTAAAGCCTCTCCATTACCTCAACTTCTTTACTGCATGAAAGAACAACACAGTGTTTTTATGGTGGGGAGGGTGTGGGGGGGCAAACCACAATCAAATGGCTTACACTGGCTATAATGCATTTTTTTTAAACCTGCAAGAAAAAGAAAAAAAAAATCCCTTTACAACAACAGGTTTCCAAAGAAACACTTAGCCTTTGAATACCTAAACACCATCCTTAACCATTGTTTTAAAAATTCAGATGAACATTCAGCTGACTTCCATAAGTTCACTTGTATACACCCTTCAGGACATACAAAAGGAAGAGTGAAAGACGGCTTCTCCTACATTGGCTGTTAAGCCATATAAACTACATAAAACAATCATAAAAGTCTCTCTAGAATCAACAAGAACAGACAATTCCAAAAGCAAGTCATCTCATCTAAAACCTGAAGTTACAGGACACAAATCCCACAACCAGCAACTGCTGACTCAGGAATTTTGAACAAAATGGGCTGAATGAGATAAAAGCAACTGGAAGTCAATGGAGTGAGAAAAAATAGCAGTGATAGTGGTAAGGTTAATAACTTGGCGCCATTATGTGCAGGTTTAGGTGTTAGCACAGGAAATTTCAAAAAACATGAAAGTGTATATGTATCATTGTATGTTTACCTGTCATTTCGAAAAACTCTGGGCAGGTATCTCCTAGGGAACCACATGGCAAGAGCACACATCAGAACCCAGAGAATAGCCAGCTCATCCAGCATCTGCCCCAAGAAACTGAGGGTAGCATGAAAATAAACAGATCCAATTCCTGGATAAATTAATCAAGAGACAGTATTATGAACAGCTGAAGTACTGTAATAGACTGAAGCACTCTGCTCACGCTCAGAACTTCACAGAAAATGGTAGCTACCAGAAATGGTCTACAAAAGGTTATAAAAAACACCAACTTTACTAAGAGGCAATCCAAGCCACCCTATTCTTGCTAATCATGAAGAAAAGTACATTGCAAAAGCAGATTACAAAAGCAGTAGCTAAAAATGTCAGCTCCTACTTGAAAAGATGTGCCTGAAGAAACACTAGGTGGAAAAGTATAAAGCAAAACCAATTAAGAAATAAATGCCAAATGCTGCTTTGGAATTTTCTCAGTTGCACAAGAATAGGTAAGAGAAAAACCAGCATCTGATGACTACTCCATGATACAGTTTTACAGGTGGAAAGTGTCACACTAACCCAGAGGGCTCTGATTATCCCCTTGACGTGCCTCCAGGAATGAACAAACTTCAGAATCTCACATCTACATCTCTGGGCCTTCTCAGTACAAACACCATTCCTCTCTTAAGTTGCACTGGCACTTCAGCTCTTATTTAAACAATGAGGGTCACCACTGCTATAAAGTAAACCCAAACACAAGGGAAAAAAAAAACAAAACAAACCCAGTATGCAAGGAAGTATTGGAAGGGAACAGAACTATGGTCAAATTTCCCACCACCTTCAGTTTGCAAAAGGCATTTTCCCTCCAGAATTATGGCTGCTTTGGCTTTAAGCAAATACAAGCAAATTCCTCCACAGATGTCAGGATTGCCTTGTTTTAAAAAACAGTCAAGTACAAGAAGGAAAAACTGATGTCCTCTCTCAGTTCACACATGAGTTGGCAAATACAGAGTAATCAACTTACCAACCACGACTAGCAGAATCCATATTAAATATATTCCACTGTTGAAGCAGATTGCGTATTGACGGAACAAGCACATACATATGGGTGGTAAAATGAAAAACAAGATGTTGCTTATCTAGGGGAAAAAAACCAAACAGTCTCAAAAAGACAGAAAATAAACAAATCTTAAATATCCACAGGCTTTCTATAACATTTTGTCATTCAGTGAAGCCCCAGTTGAACACATTATGACCCCCTGTTTCTGCCTTTACTGAGCTGTTTCTGCAAAAGCATCGATTTGTTTTGTTTAACATCATTAAATTATTAACAGCATAAAAACTTTCAGCAATGTAAAATGTGACTATTCAAGTCACAATTCAAGTCAATTTCCAAAGGAGTTTTACTGAAAATCTACATTCAAGACTGTAGCAATTCAGAAAGCGTACAAGATCAAGTTATTGAGGACCGGTGACCTGTCCTCTCAATGGTTATCAAGCCATAGAAAAAGCACTAGAAGTACTGACACAAGGCAGAGCTAGAGAAGCTTTGTGGAAGTCAATTTATTGAGCAATATTATTGTCTGGAAGGTCTGAAATACAACACTAGGTTAAGAGTTAGAACCCTTTTTGTTCAGGGTAAAGAGAGCCTGGAGCTTGAAGTCCTTTTACACTTCAATTTTTTTCCTTTGGTTCTCCCCTGCAGAACATGATTGAAAACTAGCTACAGGAAGGTGGAAAGACTTCCACTTAGGATCACTGCTAGGTGGTCTAATTTTTTTAAATTTAATATGCTTGATTTGAATGAAGACATGTTTTCTGTTTTTTCTTGCTTACAAACAATGTAAAGCATGATTCTGTAAATACTGAAAACACTTTACTATCAATTAGCAGGGACTGTCATTGTAGTAGTGATCACATGGTTCTTCCCTTGCTGGTGCTGAGGGCCAACCATGGCACAGTAATTGAGCAGTTATGAAAAGATTACTGCTTCTTCACAATGGGCCAAAGGACAGGAGGAGTCTCCAGCCTCAGCTTTCTCATGTTTGTCTGCTGAGCCGAAGCACAACAGAAAATCACCTCCAACAAAATGCTCTGAAGCTGATGTAGAAAATAACTCTGGATCAAGAACATTCCTTTGGGACAGATGGCCTCTTCACAGCTTACAAACTTGTGCCGGCAATAATGAAAATTTGGTGGAGAAATAGTTCAAGAATAACTTAGGAATTTTTTCATTCAGCTACTGTTGTCAACCTCTTAACACAGTCTGAGAACAGATTTTAAGAGTCAGATCAAGTTGTTTTAACTCATGTAAAGCAACCCACACATTCAACAAAACAGGTTCACCTGAGCAACTTTCATTCACAAAAAAAATCCCACCCACTCTCCATGCAGCAGAGTCAAAAAAGTTGGGAAGACAGTCATGGACCAGGATCCCAGTGCATGATGTGCTGGTACATACACAGAACAGGAAGACTTCCCTCACTCCAAAGCAGGTAGGAAGCACAGTGACAGCAGGGAAGGTGGAATATGAACAAATGAGTCCTCTGGGGGCCTGGTAGTGCTCCATGCATTTTAGGCTTTTAGACGAGGTTAGGCCAAAGGGAGGTGTCAAGGGGTGAAAATACCTGGTTATAAACCAAGTGCATTAAAGCAAACGTTTCCATCTCTACAGCTGAAACTGACCAATGAAGAAAATCAGAACAGGCAATCACAGTCTATCAAAATTTGGCTAGAAAGTCCTTATTCCACCTAGGAACAAGATGATGAAGGATCTACTTACCACAGCTGTAGCAATGTAGATTTATACAAGTATTAACCAATAAGGGAGCAGTACAGCACTATGGTAGTGTTCCTCTGGGAATGAACTCCCACTCATTCTAAGATCCTGCCTGCAAACGCAAGAAACCCCTTGCACACTGGAGCCTGAGCATGACTTGTACTCTTTGCAGTGGTCATCAGGAGGATTTCCTAATATCCCAGAAGCTGAAATAATTGTAGTATTGAAGCATGCCTTCAGAAAGTACGCTGCATGTGCATTTTTTATATTAATACATAATTGGCCTCCATGATTTGGTAATGTACAATTCAAATGCTTTGATAATTACAATAAGTGCAAAAAATTTACATAAGTAGTCCAGAAGATTTCCTTCTGCATCTGCAAAAGGCAATGATTAGATGTTACAGCTATGGAAAATAGGCAAGCAGCCCTTCAGTAACAGTCCATTCTTTTGGCTTCATACAATTCTGGACCTTTAGTTTTAATTTTCAACTAATTAATTATATTACAGAAATTCAGGACTGTAGGACAGAGAGAATGGGCTTGCTTAGATCATGATCATACAACTGCACTCACAACTGGCCACTGTCTTGACACAGATGTTTCCTACAGTTCCACCAAAGCTCATGTATTCATCACTATTGATTAACCTCCCAGAGAGCAGCTGCAGAATTCAGCCACCACAGAAAAATCTACTGCACCATATCCTTCTGAGCAGAAAGCAAAACTGGACTAAAGTAGCTGCCAATAACATCAGAGGGTGTGTATCCTCCATATCATGGTACCTAAACATGACATTCACATACACTAAAAGTCTTCTGTGGTAAGGATGCGGTAGGGAGAGTATAAATATTCTCTCGCACTCTTAAGACTACCTCATAACTTTTTACAACTTTTATTTCCATGTCACTAAGGAGCAAAAGAAGAAGAATAAAACCCTGGCAATTCCCTTAGTAAATGGAAATTACAAGCACAACTAAATGCAACACATTCAATTGCTACACATGGACTTTTCCAGCCAACAGGAAAAAATACTGTTTTCAGGTATTTAAAACATAAGCAATATGTTTTATTTTGTAAATACCTCTTCACAGAGAAAATTGTTTTGATCATTTGGAGGCATTTGTTATGGTGTGGAGTAGGGTTACACTGCATCAGAACACATTATTTTATCCATTTCAGAAGAAAAAAAAAAAAGAAAAAAACTACCCTGTTTTTATAACTATTCCTTCAATTTGAGCTATGGAGTGTTTTGTGGCCTCTTTACTGAAAAAGTGTAAGACCTGAATCACTTCAATTAGACAAAAATCATGTTAAGTCTAGCTTGTGTATGTTTTAAAAAATTAGTTTGATCAATTTATACAAAACATCTGAACAGTTTTCTCCTACAGATTTAATTCTATTGAATGCTTTTTGTTTTCTGTTTAAGTCCCACTAGAATAAATAATTAATTTTTTTTTAATACATAAGCAGCAGATAAGCTGTTCCAGTTTTGTGCTTACATGAATATTGCATGAGACCTCAACTACAACTCTGACCTCAGCCATGGCAATTTAAAATGTGGATTAGCAAGATTTTTAATCTGAAACTTAATGACCCAGATGCCAGGTTCAGGTCTGCTGAAGAGTGCTTCCTGAAACTTCAAGGGAGCTTGAATCAGTCAGAACAAATGCCCCCTAGAAGGAATATAATTTAGATGCCACCTAAGGTACTTTTTAGAGTAGGGCCAAAACTTCACAACTGTCCTGTAATCATCTGTTTTTTTGAGGACACAGTTGCACAATCCCATCAATCCACTGCAACTCACTGTTTTAATTTTCAGAAGTAGCTAACAGAGAAATCAAACCCTACCAATGACTTGGTATTACTGAAGAGAGGCTGAACATGACTACCCTCAATAGTGCCTTTTTTTCTCCGCCCCTTTCAGTGCACAGCTTACTGATTTGTACACAGCTGCCACAACACAGCAGGCTTCAGAGCAAACTTTCTTCTGTGTGTGTCCACCTGTCTGAAGCCTCAGTTATTCATATGGACAGAAGTGCAGCTTCTAGCATTCTGGCAAGCTTCTATACCACTGCTAATCAGCTCAGTGTTGTGGTTTAATCTCACACAGCAGCTTTGCACTGACCAGCTGCTTACTCACTCCCTTCAGAGCAGGATGGTGGAGAAAATCAGAAGGGTAAATGTGAGAAAACTTGTGGGGCTTGAGATAAGAACAATCCAATAGGGAAAACCTAAGTTCTTCAGACAAGTGAAGTGAAATAAGGAATTCCTTCAGCAACCTCATGGATAGGCAGGTGTTCTCCATCCCCAGCAAAGCAGAGCCCCGTCACACGTAACAGTGACTTGGGAAGACAAATACCACCACCCTAAAGGCCCCAACTGCTTCCTTCTCCTTCTTCCAGCTCTACATGCAGATCATGATGCCATAGGGCCTAAGACAGTTGGAATCACCTGTCCCAGCTGTGTCCCCTCCAAAAGCCTTCCGCAACCCCAGCCCACTTGCTAGCTGGGTGAGGTGAGGAGCAGAAAAGGCCTGAGTAAGCCCTGCTCAGAAGTAATGAAAACATGCCTGAGTTACCAACATTGTTTCCAGCACAAAACATCCCCCCCATACCAGTGCCTATAAGGAAAATTCACTCCACCCCAGACTGAACCAGTGCATACAGTAGAAGGATACCCATCCCCCTGCATAGCTGGCTGCAAAACACACTTGCTGTCTTCAATAACTTGTTTATCCTGACATTTTCCTCCCTTTGTTTTTAGTTCTTGCACAGTGACATCAGACACACAAAAAAAGCTGCCAGTTTCCCTCACACACCCTCAAAATTCTTCAGTGGCATGGACCAGCCACCATCTTTAGGACTTTGGCAGCTAAGTACAAGAAGAAAACAAGTTAGCAATGTGCTTAATGTTTGCAGAGCACTATGGAATTATTTGCTCTGCATGTGCAGAACCTCCCTTGATACACACTCCAGCCGGGGAAGCCAGACACCCACTTCTTCCACTATGTGCTAGCAGTCAAAGAAACATGGCTTGAAAGGGAAACAGTTCAGACAAGGATGAAATTTGTGAAAAAAACCAAAAAACCTGCCCACTGTAAAGTATAAAAGAGACAAAGCAGAAGCTCCAGCTCCTCATTTGTCCACACACTACCTCCTATAGAACAGAAAACAGACAGTATTTGCAGGTTTGCTCCTGGACAGATGATTTTCATGGAAGGGGAAAACTGCCCAAAAGCCCAACGGATTATCTTATTCTAGTGGATCTGTCACTGCCATTCTTTACATCAACAGGATGTCAGGAGCACTGCTCCCTTTCCAAGGTGCGTGGTAAAGGGCAGTCTGTCTCTGCTGCTGTGGCTGTTTTCATAAGTTCTGTCCAGCAGCTGAGAGGTATTGGAAAGGTGTGTGGTAAAGGGCAGTCTGTCTCTGCTGTGGCTGTTTTCATAAGTTCTGTCCAGCAGCTGAGAGGTATTGGAAAGGTGCAAGAGGACTCAGGGGTAACCCATGATTAACTGGAAAGAAGCAACAATTACATTATTCCCCTTCCCTCTCTTTCACACTTCAGTTGCTTTCTTAAACAAGCATCTCCCCCTCTTCCAAAAATACACTGCTGACTTCATCCTGCAACCTAAAGGCAAATTGTCCATGAAACCTATGCCTTCTTGGAGCCAAACATGCCTGGGAAAAACCCAGTTTTGCCTCCAAACACCAAGGTACTTTTTAATCTTGACCAATCACTGCTGTGCATGCCCATCAAGGCGCTGACACCTGTTTGTGCAAATGGGTACTAGACCAGGGCAATCTAGCACCAAAAATTTGGTGCTTGGCCACCACAAGTCTCCACAAAGACGAGGACAGGGCCTGCTACACACTACTTACCGGCAGTAGCGCGACTAGTAAATCTCCCCATTTTATACCTGAAAAACTAGGAAAAAATTACTTAATTTTAGGCATGCCAGCAACCGGAGAAGAAAAAGAAGTCGGCAGCCATAGAAGGGCACGCTACAATCGCACGAAACCTCCCCAGGAGACGGCAGGCAGCGGGAGCACCGCGGGCTGCAGCGGGACCCGCCCGCCGCCCCCGCTCCGCCGGGCACCGCCACCGCCACCCACCGTGTTGTAGAACTCGGCGATGGCAGGCACGATGGTGTAGTTGTCCTCGCACCAGTCCACCTCCGAGCTGCCGGCCCGCAGCGGGTCCCACCACAGCAGCGCGCCCATCGCGCCGCGGCCCTGCCCGGCGGCGCCGCGGGGCGGGGACCCGCCCGGGCACCGCGACACCCGCGCCGCTCGGGGCTCCGGAGCCCGTGCCGAGCGGCGGGGAGCGCCAGCTGCCCGCTCCCCGGCGGCTCTGAGCAGCACGCCCGCCTCCATTGTACGCTTAGAGACAGCTCACCCAGAGCTGCTGCGTGTGGAACGGGCCGCTGGAGATGATGCAGTCCAGCCTCCCTGCCAAGGCAGGGTCACCTAAAGCAGGTGACACGTGCAGGTGGGTTTTGAGTGTCTCCAGAGAGGGAGACTCCACAGCCTCCCCTTCCAGTGCTCTGCCACCCTCAGTGTAAAGAAGTTCTTCAGGTTAAGGTGAAACTTCCCGTGTTTTAGTTTAGGGACTACTCTACGCTGTGCCACCGAGCACCAATGAAATTTGTCTGGCACCATCCTCTTGGCACCCACATTTGAAATTCTTCTACGTATTGATGAGATCCCCTCTCAGTTTTCTCCAGACCAAACAGTCCTAGCTCTCCGAGTCTCTCCACCCCAGAGAAATGCTCCAGACCCTGTGACCATCCTTGTGGCCTTCCGCAGTAGCTCCCTGTCTCTGTCGTGCTGCGGAGGCCAGAACTGGGCAAAGGACAGCGTGTCAGTTCCAGCCGCGTTTTGGCGAGCAGCGGCCGCCCCCGCACGGCCCAGCTCCCGCGGGCGGAGGCGCTGGGCACGGCAGGGAACCGGGACGCCCGTCTCGGCGGGAGGCGCTCACACCGCGCCGCTGCCTCGCCTACCGATGGCGCTTCTTTGTACAGCCGCCAGCGTTCCGGCCTGGCGTGTGTCCCGCGGGCGGCCCCAGAACAGCCCTCCCTGCCGGCGGAGCCGCGCCCGGGCCCGGGCAGGGCAGGGCGGGCCCGAGCGCCCCGACCCCGCCGCGGGACCGCCCCGACCCCGCCCCTGTCGTAAAGGCCTCCCTCGGCATTGGGCAGCTTCCGTCACGTGGGGCGCGGGTGGCACTGCTCTCGCGAGAGTTTCTGGGTGTATGTAAGAAGTGCGGGCGGAAGTGCGGCCTTTTCCCGCGGCGTGGAGACGGGGGCAGGATGAAGGTGAGGCCGCGCCGCGCCGGGGCCGCGCTCGGGAGCGGGGCTCGGGCTCGCCCGCCGTAAATGGCCGCGGCGCTGCCCGCAGAGCCGCTCGTGGTGCCCGATGGTCCCTGGCGGCGGGGCTGGAGCGCAGCTGCGAGCGGATGGGAGTGGATTGCGTGAGGGCCGCACTCGCTCGGCCGGGGCTCGGCTGCCGCGGGCTTGCGGAGCGCCGGGCTTGCGGAGCAGCCGCTTGGCTCGGAAGGGCTCTGCGGGCGAGAGGCCCGTGCAGCGGCCTGCGGGGCCCGGTGGGAGCTGCGCTGTGCCCGAGGCAGGCGCCGTGCAGCGCTGCGCTCTGCGGCGGCCCCGGGAAGCGCCAGTGACCCCAGGGCAGGTGCTGGGCCCTTGCGGTGCCTTGTAATGCGGCGTGAGGGGTTTGTAGGAAGAGGAGAGCCCATGTTTGTGCTGCTCGCGTTCTCTGATCGATGTTTTCACTGTAATAAAGTCAGTTCTGTGTGCGGCTGAAGCAGCTGTACAGACCAGTGCGGCCGAACACGGGAGCTTCTTGCCTTGGCTCTCCCAGATGTGCTGGTGACAGGTTTTCCTGGTGAGCGTTTGTGTAAGCAGCTGGGCAATCCCAGCTTTGAAATGCCAAGCTCAAACGGGCAGGTAAATTCTAATTTTCTGTTAAAATCTTCTTTCAGTAGTTTCAACCAGATTTTTTTGTTTTGGTTTGTTTTTTGTTTTTTTTCCTTTGTTAGCTCAACATCTCTTTTCCGGCTACTGGCTGCCAAAAGCTCATTGAAGTAGATGATGAGCGTAAGCTCAGGACGTTCTATGAAAAACGAATGGCCACGGAGGTGCTGGCTGATTCCCTTGGCGAGGAGTGGAAGGTAAGCAGTGCAGAAGAATGTGCAAGAGTCGTAGTTGAGGAGCTTAAAATACAAAGTTTCTGTAGTACGCACTTGTCAGATGCGTTGCTAGTATGGTGTGCATTTGGTGGCCAGGTTAAAAGGTTCTCTTGCCGTGTGTGTATTGAACTTCGTGGTTAGGATAGCTTCCATCAGTACTCACCTGGTTTTTAAAGCCTTGTGTTTGTAGAGTTCCTTGTTCCCCTTCACAGTAGCTTATTGCTCTTCGTTTGGGTGCTGCCTCTTGGTGTTTGGGACAAGTTAGGTTTGAGGTATAGAACTGCTGGTCCGTTCAAAATTGGCTTTGTCTAAACTGCTGCTAATCTGTGAGAAAAAACATGCTTGGCCTGGTGGATGCGCTTGGAATAGTTAGTGTTAATAGGGACAGTGCAGCTGAATTTGAGGAGTGTGGTCTTTTCTGCTGCCACCTTCATAAGGAAAGTGATGAAACCCTTTTTTCCTGTGTATCACTGCTCTAGACACTCCTGTGTTCTGTGCACATTTCCAGTTTGTCAGGATAACTGGCTTTAATTAAGCTCACAATTGCAGAAAAGCTGAACAATAATTCCAAGAGATTTTGTGCTACTACTTTCCAACAAAACTTCAAAGGGATGTGAATCACGCTAACTGTAAATTCTGGTATACAGAGGTATTTTCACATTTCTTGAGTGAAATTGCTGAACTGTTCCAAAATGTTGGTTAAAGTTGTTTGCACTGCCAGTAGCAGTGACTTCAGCTGAACCATGGCCGTGCTGCTCCGTTGTTCCGTGCAGTCTCTTGTGCTGTCTGCTGCTGGAGGAAACAACGAGGTGAGTAACTGGGAAGTGTTTGTGCTTTCACAGGGGTACGTTGTCCGGATAAGCGGTGGCAATGACAAGCAAGGCTTCCCCATGAAGCAGGGCGTCCTGACCCACGGACGTGTCCGCCTCCTGCTCAGCAAGGGCCATTCCTGCTACCGCCCCAGGAGAACCGGCGAGAGAAAGCGCAAGTCTGTCCGTGGCTGCATCGTTGATGCAAACTTGAGCGTCCTGAACTTGGTCATAGTGAAGAAGGGTAAGTCCGAGTGAAACAGGCAGTAAATGGGGGGACATGGGCACCTGGAGGGAGCCTGCTTGATAGTGGTTGGTGATTGTGTGAAATGGAGATGGCAGTTCTGGTTTCACAGTGTGACTGCTGTGTCTTACGAGTCCTCTGAGCATTGCCTTCTTGTAATGCTAAAACTGGTTACTGAAACACTTGTTGTTGCAGCAGTCTGATCATGTCACAGCAGCCACAGGTGGCTGCAGTGGTGCTATTGACAGGCGAACCCCAAGGATTACCTAGCATTATCTTGAATTCTTGCGTATTAGGGTTTTGCTGCTGGACCCGGTGCTCAGTAGTGTAGTAATTGGCATGCTTAACCTTATATTCCCAAAGGTGAAAAGGACATTCCTGGGCTGACTGACACAACTGTGCCCCGTCGTCTCGGTCCCAAGAGAGCCAGCAGGATCCGCAAGCTGTTCAACCTCTCTAAGGAGGATGACGTTCGCCAGTATGTTGTGAGAAAGCCTCTGAACAAGGAGGGTAAGAACTCCCCATAGTACAGCTCTTGGGGTTTCTGTAATTACTGCCGAGGTGTCCAGCCTACTGCACTGGACAAAGCAGAGTTAGTAGTGCATCTGAGAAGTTGACACTCAATATATTTATGCTTTGTCAACCGTAACTTGTGGAAAAAAATAGTTTCTTGGTTGCCTCATTTCCTTCACCCCTCTGTCATGTTTTGTCACAGTTTGTTCTTAAAAATTTGATAGAATCTTGAGTAATTTTTTCTAGTATTTCTAATAATAACCCAAAAGTAGTTGCTAATGAAAGAAAGTTAAATATAAGGGGAATGCTGCTTAAACTTTCATGGTGTAGGGGGAAAGGCAGTGTAGAGAGAAAATGCTAAGATTTTTTTCCCCCTTGCTTATGGCAGGCAGTCTGAAATGAGGTCTTATTGGCAGGGCACTGCTATCCTTACTACCTCAGTATTGCAGTGCAAGATTTTAATTTCTGGGCTTTTTGCTTTTGATTGGGGGGAAAAAGTGGATTTTTAGAAGAGTATGATTAGACTTGAGTACTATGAAAGTTTGAGGAGGAAAGGAACACATCATAGGAAATGGTTTTCTCAGTTGAGGAATATGATCCCGGTGCATATCGGACTGTGGTGTATGACTGTTAAAGTCTGTCAGGATTGCTTAGTGAAATGTTATTTTACAGATGTATGTGTTTGCCCGTTGTGGACAGTCTGGTTTTTGGGATAAACAATGTCAAACCTAAGTAAAATTGTAGATGTCTTTTTAATGCTGGAAACAATGGCTTGTTCTGGAAGCTATATAATGGATTCCTTTATTATTGAAAAGTCTAGGTCTGGGGGGAGTTCGAGGAGACAGGTCTGCTGAGAAGCTAGGAATTTGCTCTTCATTTCTAATAACAAATCACGAGCATTAAGACAGTATATTGTCAGTGCTGTGTCTGGTGATAATGGATAATTTTCCCTGTAAAATCTCTGAAGGTGTTGAACTCTTTATAGTTGCTGTAATACATAGTACGCTAAATAATGTTACTGTAATAGTAAATCAAACTTGCTCTAAAGTTGGCTGGATGAGGCCTGTGGTCTCTTGGGAAGGTACTCTGCCACTTCTGCTGATCTGCAATGATTTTTAGGTAAGAAGCCCAGAACGAAGGCTCCCAAGATCCAGCGACTGGTGACTCCTAGAGTGCTGCAGCATAAGCGCAGGCGTATCGCCCTGAAAAAGCAGCGCACTCAGAAGAACAAGGAGGAAGCTGCAGAGTATGCAAAGCTGTTGGCCAAGAGGATGAAGGTATGTTTGCCATTTTAGCTCAGCTGTATGGAATATAGCTCCAGAATCAAGGGATTTGGTAAACTGGACTATACGGCAAACTAGCCACATGCCTTATGGCTGCTCTGTACCTGCTCATTTTGAATGTAAGTGCCCAAATAGGAGTATAAACACAGCTGATCAGTTGGGGTTTTTTTAATATTTCTTTTGTCATATAAAATAGAAATTAACCAAGCCCACTAATTTGAGAGCCTTTTTTGAAGGAAATAAACAGTTATGGCCTGTGAGGATTTTTTTTTCCATAGCTGTTTTAGTTCAAATTAATTCTGGTTGAAGTTCAAGATGCCCTAGCATTTGAGTGATTGTGTGGAAAAACGAGGTTTAGCAGTTGATCTTGATGGAGGATAAGTTGGCAAGAAGGTATTTGTTAGCATGTGTTTGCCCTTGCTCCTAAAACTGCAGTGACTGCTGAAGCAGTCAGTACTGAAAGCAGTACAGTTGAATTATTACAGTTGAATTCAGGTGTGCATAGTAACATTTTGGTGTGCAGTGTAACATAGTTTTAGGTGTTTGAATACTGTGCAAAAACACAGGCCTGTGCTGGTTTGAATACTGGCAGAATTCTTCTGAGCTGTAGAATGAAATTATTTTGTGCTGTTGAGTTTCACAATTCATTCCTTCAAGCTGCATTTCCCCTAGTTTGTTCCTTGGTATATGTTTTAAAATGCTCGATGAATATGTAACATCTCCATACTTCATGCCTTTCAGGAAGCCAAGGAGAAACGCCAGGAGCAGATTGCCAAGAGGCGCCGGCTTTCTTCTTTGAGAGCTTCTACATCCAAGTCTGAATCAAGTCAGAAGTAAAGATGTTGTACATGATACTGAAAAGACTTGCATTTGATAACCAATAAACGCCTTTGGTGGCAAACTTCCAGTATGAGACTTTGTAGTGCATGTTGTTACTGGCAATTTCTTAAACAGGAGTTCAGACTACTGCATCTTGCACACCAAACTAGAACCAAAAACCATGATCTTGATGCAGCTCTCTTATGAAAAGATTGTCACTCATTTGGGTACTGAGTACAACATTGGTAAAACTTTAAACTTTCAACTGATTCTTGGCAGAATTAAGTGCAGTTCAGATGCTTACTGGCACTGCTTCCCCAGGAAAGTGGCCACAAACCTGCCAGAGTTCTGGGAATGTCTGGATGATGGTCTTAGTCAAAAACTTTGGTGGTGGGTAGTCCTTTGAGGAGCCGTGGTGTTCCTTTCAGATGATCCTTTTGGGTTACTGCAAATATGAGATGCTGCTGATTCTGTAGGTATTGCAGCATTCTGCTCTTGAAATTGGTACTGAGCATGAGAAAGCACCTTTTAAAGTTTGACTTGGGGATTAGAAACTTCATTAGCCTTAATGTATTCATTATATACTGGACAAGGATAATGGGAATTTGACTCAAAAGTTAAAAATACATGTGTTGGATGTTAAAATGGTCTGCAGCTAAATAAATTGTCTTAGTTCTTGAAACAGTAATTTGGATCCACTTCTATTTTGTTGAGATAGGTGCTTTTCTTTCTAGTAAATAGAGCTTCACTACAACATAAGTTGGGAAGGTGTTTATTCCTGTGTGTGTGGCAAGGCTCTCTTAGTTAGGGCCTCACCTGGCTAGAAGCATATTTTAGTGTATCAGATGAAGAATCTGGATGAAAATAAAAAACCAAAAGTTGCAGGAGACAAGATTTGCTGCCCATACATGAGATGTGGCAGGATCAAACCTGTGGTCCTTGAACTTCAGGTTTGTATTAGGACAGAACTTGCCATGAAGCACGTAGGTGCAGTGGAGCCTTGGACCAAGAGACTTGGCTAAAGCAGCTACCAAGCTTTAAGCCATCATTCACAGCTTAAGTGAGACTGTTCTTGAAGGACAACTAATCAGAAAAGGTTGGGCGGGCTGTTAATTTTGGCTGTACATGAGTTAAATAATGCTGGCTAGGTCAATAAAATTTTAAAAGGGTACCATTTTACAATGTACTTTTTTTATGGAGACCCATGTTCATTGCCTGCAGTTTAATGGTGAAGATCCATCGGCTCTGTTAAACCTGAGCTTCACTGAATAAAAAAGTCCCCTTTTACTCCACATTAGTCTCAGCTGCAAAATTTAATTGGAGAAAATGTAGATAAGAGAGTAACATTCACTAAATTCACAGTGCTAAGAATTTTACAATCTGCAGAAGGGAAATAACACTGTCTACATTCTTAATCCTAGTAAAATACTCTTGCATACAATTAAGGGGTACTCTGGTCAGGGTGTACAAACACTGAGGTGTGTCCTAGACAAGAACAGGAATGTTCTGAACAGGCTACTAGTCAGCAGAGTGGTATAGGGTATTCTATATGACCTGTTCGGCTATATAGGCTGTGATCGCTTCTTTCTCTGAAGTAGTACAAGTAATACCCAGTTGCATGATTGTGTGAAAAAAGTCAGTGGAGTCCTGGTTATTTTTTTGAAGCTTCGAGGATGTGTGGCCTTGTCAGAGCCAGAAAATACATAGCCTTATCATTAGTAGCAAAAAAAATCCTTTCTGCAGTCTTCTCCCTCACTTGTTTCCTGGAGCTGCCTTAGTACATCATCTGCTTCCTTCTGCAGTCTTAGACTTTCAAGTGCAAATCAGCATATCATGACTTGCAGGCTCTAAAGAACTGTCCTGGCTTGAGAGCACTTTAAAAGATCATCTAGTTTCGTCCCTTCAGGTCTGTGAAAAGTGTTTCTCCTTGTCCCCATGTCCCCCTCAACACCCAGTTTAGTGACACAGCAAACGTGGTGAGGGTGTTTTTGGTCCCATCCAGATCATCCATGGAGATGTATAGGCTATTCTATATGACCTGTTCGGCTATATAGGCTGTGATCGCTTCTTTCTTTGAAATAGTACAAGTAATACCCCGTTGCATGATTGTGTGAAATAAGTCAGTGGAGTCCTGGTTATTTTTTTCAAGCTTCGAGGATGTGTGGCCTTGTCAGAGCCAGAAAATACATAGCCTTATCATTAGTAGCAAAAAAAATCCTTTCTGCAGTCTTCTCCCTCACTTGTTTCCTGGAGCTGCCTTAGTACATCATCTGCTTCCTTCTGCAGTCTTAGACTTTCAAGTGCAAATCAGCATATCATGACTTGCAGGCTCTAAAGAACTGTCCTGGCTTGAGAGCACTTTAAAAGATCATCTAGTTTCGTCCCTTCAGGTCTGTGAAAAGTGTTTCTCCTTGTCCCCATGTCCCCCTCAACACCCAGTTTAGTGACACACCAAACGTGGTGAGGGTGTTTTTGGTCCCATCCAGATCATCCATGGAGATGTTACAACATGTACTGATCCCTGGGGGGATCAGCACAGGCTGCCAGCCTCAGTAAAACACGTTGATCACCTGAGAGATGATTCCTGCTGATTTCACAGCACTGCCATCCGGTCTATATTTGACATTTGTCCAGGAGGAAGCTGTGGGAAACAGCGTCAAATGCTTTGCCAAGGTCCAGCTGAACAATACTGCTCTGTCTTGACGTGCTATTTTTCTGTAGCACTTACCAATTTAGGCTGGCATGATTTGCCTTTGATAAACTCACACTGAGTTTTCCCAGTCACCTACTTTGACCATGGCTTTAGGTCATGGATGACTCAAGTGGCCAATCTGAAAGAGGCTAATGAAGAAACAGTATGTTTGCTCTGCCTGTGTGCAATAGAAACTGCAATAACACCACAAGGCCAGCAGCTGCAATAGTCTCTTAACAGCCTAACAGCAGTTCAAAACCTGTGATAGTAAACACAATGCCAAATGCTATCTGGGAACTGCAGCTTTTCCTTGCACGTCTCAGCAGTTTTGGCAGGATTTCTGCTGTTTAATGGCAGACTTTCTGCAAGCCTGAAGCTTGGCTGCATACTCAGACACCTTAGGCTTCAGGGCAAGTAACGGACCCTGGTCAGAACCTGACCGGTTGCCATTTCATCTCTTTGCAACCAAAGGAAGCAGAATACACGTAACACTGACATACATCATCACTTTTAACCAGTGAGGTCTGAATTTAGGCAGCATGACACAGAAAACAAATGAGGAAAAAATGCCAAAGGAAAGCATCTTGAAGAAACATGAACAAAATATTGGAACATCCCTCTGAGCTACTGTTGTAACTAAGTGACGTGAGCCCCTGGTCTTCCCAGCAGTTTCTGTCTACCGCCCAACTCCATGGAACCATGGAGACTCTTCCAGGCGCCTCTGGAAAACAGTAATGTGCAAACACCTGCTGAAGCAGGGCCGTGGCTGGTCAAGTCTGAGCATTTTTTAGGGCTGTCTCAGGGTCAGGTTGATGCCCACCAGGAATACAAGGCCTTTCCAGCTCAGTTGCTCTGGCACATGCAATTATTCCTACACAGAGGCAAGACCTTTCAGATTATTTGTGGATCCCATCAGTTTTTCAGCCTGGCAAGTTAGTTGGCTCTTCCTTTTCTTCATAGACAGTGGAAGTTTGTCTTTACAGAGATGGAAGTAACTATCACTATTAGCAAGGAACTCCCACTCAAGGTGGTTCTGAACACATGAAGCATCAGAGCTTCCTTAAGCAAGCACCTTCTGCTATTTTGCCATCACATTCCCTCAAATTTCCCACCAGATTCTAACACAGGAAGTAGCAGTTCCCTCCTCTTTACAGCTTCAAACCCAAACCCTGTGTTCATGCTTCTTTGGGGATTCGTCAAATGGAAGCATTTGTCCCTGCTCAGCATTCTCCCTTTCTTCTGTCTCCTCCCTCAACAGGCCACATGAAGGGTAGGAAATGCTAAGACAGGGTAATATTCTTAGCAAGCAGCATTATTGAAAAGTCAGCAGTGACAAAGTCATCATTCAGAGGAAAACAAGGAAAGTCAGTGTGATGCTTGCAAGATACACAAGTCCAGAAGACTATCTGTTCCTGACAGCTCTCTATCTAAAACTAGGTCTGGAAATACAGGTTTATTACAGATCTTCTCCACAAGATATCAATCTGTACTGTGCACATCAGTCTCATTAGCCAAGAAAGGTCTTTAGGGTTTTGTACTCTTATTGTTTACTGTCAGATTAATGAACTGACTGCTGTACATGAGGGGGGCTTGAAAGATACACAGCTGTGAAGGTGAAGAAGGCCTGAGGCACTGGCAATCTCTACTACTTAAATTTCATCTCAGCCTCACTCCAATCCCTGCCCCATAAAAAAAACCAGAACAAAACAAACTCAAAAAAACCCCAAAAACAAAACAAAACAAAAAAACAATACTCCAATCCCTGCCCCATAAAAAAAAAAACAGAACAAAACAAACTCAAAAAAAACCCCCAAAAACAAAACAAAACAAAAAACAACAAAAAAACCCCAAAACAAACAAACAAAAATACCCACCGGAAATTACATGTAACCCACAACTGTGTTATGAAGTCCACCAATCTCCACCAATGTTTTGACGCATCAGCTGAAAGCATCACTCTGTGATCCCACAATGAAGCCACTGAGAAACCAGAATTCCTGCAAAGTGTTCTCCCAAGTAAAGCCACAAATATGCTGCAGAGAGCACCAGCTATCCTCAGGAAGCCAGGGGCTATGCTCTTCCTACAAACAAGAGCTTTACAGTTCTGTCACACTGAGCCTGTTTTTCACCTGTTTTTACCTCTACTGATGCCCAGGGCTTGCTGAAGGTGTCGCAGAGCCATCCATCTTCTCTAGAAGCCACATCTCCACAAGTGAGTCCCATTTTTTTTATTTCCCTCTCCCCCTGCCCCTGCTCTTTCCCATCATTCAAAAGCCACTGAGGTACTGTGAAATAATTATCCAAAAAGACAGTCAAAAGTCTTTTGCTGAACTATAGGCTGAATTTACACTTAAGATTAAATTCTGTCAATCATTTAAATTCTAGTGTTGAAAAAAGCTGAA